TAGGTGTGATTTCCCCAGCTGTGTGTAAAGCCAACAAGTGCGGGCAGTAGCTCCCCCAACTGAGTCATCAGAGTTTCCCTAGATGGTGGGAGTGGCCTGGAGTCCGGTAAGGGCTTTTGAAAGTAAAGAGAGGGAGAATAGAAGAAAAAGAGAGAAAGGAGAAAACAAAGGCAAGATCAAAAATAAAAAGCTATCACATACATACCCAAATCAAAGACAAAATAACAACAAAAACAAGGAGTCAAATAAAGAAGACGACAAAAAAGTAAAACAGAATCTGCTGAGACTGTGGCGGGATAGAGAGAAGAGATAGAAGAAGAAAAAATGAGAAAAAGCAAAAGAAGATGAAGAAGAGAAAGAAAGAAAAATAGATAGTTATCTGAGCCCCGTCCCATTCCGTGTGTAGCACTGCCTCGTTTCGTGTGCAGCACTGCCATAGGAGGCAGGCTTGAGCTCTCCTTGCTTGGTGGGTGGAGTTGCCCTATGCAGAGGGTAGTAAGCTGGAAGGCAACAGTGACATGTGGAAGAAAAGATTGGAGAGAAACAAAATAAGAAGAAAAAAGAGACCAGAAAGAAAGAAAAAGAAAATAAATTCAAAGAGGAAAGACAACTGTTCTTGCCAAGACTGACTGTGGTGGGAAAAGAGAGAAGAAAATAAAGAATAAAAAACTGATCCCTGATTGCCTGAATGTGGGACCAGAGGGGCTCAAACCCTGCCCCAAGGTGGCAGGTTGATGTGCCCTTTTGGTGCAGGGTCCCACCTGTGCTTGGTGGAATTGCCCTAATTGGTAAGATCACTGTAGAGGTCAGACGGAGGTTTCCTCAGCAGCATGGAGTGCTGTAGAGGGCTGTCCCAGCTGCCTTGTGAGGTGTGGAGGGCTCCCACAGAGGGTAGGGTGTTGTTCCCCCTGCTTTTGGGGCAGAGTTGCTCAAGGCGGAGAGTACTGTCCCAGAAGCCAGCAGTTTCAAATGAAGTGAAAGAGAGGGAGAGAAAAGGAAAAAGAAAGAAAAAGAGAAAAAAACAAAACAGAATTGGGCCCGCTGAGACCAACTGCCTTGGGAAAGATAGAAGGGAGCGAGACGAAGGAGAGAAAAGAATAGTAAGTAAGGTGATGGCTGAGGCCTGATCGCACCCCGCCTCAAGATAATGGGGTGGTGTGCCTGTTTGGTGAAGGGTCCCACAGATGCCAGGCAGAACTACCCTCGATGGCAAGATCACAGTGGAGGCCAGGCAGCAGTTCTCACAGTGGTGTTTAGCACTGGAGATCAGTGGTATAGCTGCCTCATGCTGTATGCAGCACTCCAGCGGGTGGTGGTGGTGTGGTTCTCTCAACCACGTGTAGGACCCTAGGACAGGCAGGGGATCCCCTAGCCACACAGAGGACAGGTAGGACCTCCCCAGCTGCGTGTAGGATCACTGAGGGTGGACTGCAGCAACCCCCTCCACCACCCCCACCCCCGTTTGGCTTGCAGAGTTGCCCCAGCTTGTGCCAAAACCGCTGATGCCCCATCAGCTCAGAGGATTTTTTTCTGTTTTCCCCTGGCCACCTGGAATTGAATTAAATTAAATTGGTCCACTGACTCTGGGCTCTGGGTATGTGCTCAGTGAGATATTCTGAACTTGAGGTTTGTTCCAGGGTCTTTGATATGTTGAAATCCTCTGGGCTCTGTAGCTTACTTCTGGCATTCCTTAGCATTGGCTCCCTTATTATACTAATGTATGTTAAGAGATTCTTTCTGCCAGTTTGTCTTGGAGTTAAACAATTATTAGCCTTGGATTTGCAGTTTTTATGGAGAAAATATTTTTTCCCTTTTTTTATTGGGCTTATGGAGTGCCCTGATTTTGGGGCCGTCACGCTGACGCCAAGAGGAGATCTAGCTTACTGCATAAGTTGTTTTCTTCTTGGCCAACTGGAACTTGTAAGGTAGTCGAGAGGTGCCAGAAACCAAATCTGTCAAATTAGAACAAACTACTTATTAGGGAGAAAAAACCAGCCTGGGTGAAGTCCCATGGTCCACAGTGTCTGGGCCAAGGGAGTTGTGCCCCAGGCTACAGGGGTGGTGCTTATATGGCCAGGAAACATGTGACTGAGCTGTCTTGAGTCCATATAAGGTAAAGTAGTCAGGGATTGGGAGATACAGGTATGTCTGGGTTTCTGGAATCTAAGGTTCTGGGTGTATTTGTGCCAGGTGCAGAGCAGCGGGCCGAGAACAAAGCAGGCACTGAGCCAAATGGGCGATGCCGGGTGCAGGCACTGAGCCAAATGGGCCTTGCCAGGTGCAGATTGGCGGGTTGAGAATAAAGCGGGCCATTTGCCAGCTCTGGTCAGCTCTGCAGGTGTGTGTGGGAGATTCAACGTCACTCGCTGCTAGTTGTTTCAACTAGCTCTGGTCAGCTCCGCACGGGTGGGGGAGATTCAAGGTTATTTGCTTCTAGAAGCCGGCCTGGTATTGATCCGGCCATACAGAACTGAATTTACTTCCTGGACTGTGGCTACCCACTTATGCTCTGCCACACCTGGATCTGACTCAGGTAAATTTTCTGACGTCTTTTCAATTGCTTCAAGTCCATGGCTGCTTCGTGCTGACCCTGTCCCCCAGGCTATGAGTGCAAGGCAGCTAACAGGACAGGGAGCTCTGTTAGCTAGCTTTCAGAGATTCTCCTCGAGTGTGGGATTATGATCCCTTTTGGATGTCAGCCTGGGGAAATAGGTACTCGCTGCTGGACTAGAACGCTGGTAGCTGCTCGTTCGGAGCCCATGGGCCAAGCCCAATGAACTTTGAGCATTTCAGTGCGTTCTTGGTTCGCTTTGTGAGTAAAAATCCAAAAAAGTGGAGTTCAGTACAGACCCTAGTATCCTAATTCTAATATTAGGACCCCGCCTCCCAGTCTCCTTCACCTTACTTCCCAATTTTCTGGTCTGGCAGTAGGAGCTCCAGGCAGGTAAATCTAACTGGACTCCATCTTCTTCCATCTCTCTGAGGAATGAAGTTTCTTATCTGAACTTTCCTAGCATTTTTCTCATCAGTGAGTTTTTAGTTTTCTTAAAACTTCTTCATAATTTATTAATCCCCATGTTCATTGTGTTAGTCTGGGTTGACTAGATTAACAAATTCATAGACACTCCTGTGTTTAAGAAAGAGCTTTATATCAAAGAGTAATTGTGTATTAAGAACATCCCAGTCCAGTCCAACTCAAGTCCATAAGTCCAATATTAGCCCACATGTCCGATACTAGTCTATAAATTCTTCTTTAGACTCATGCTACACATGCAATGTCGCTGAATGCAGAAAAATCACAGTGGGTAAAAAGTTTTGTGGATCCAGTGGCAGTGGAAGCATCTTAGCACTGGCATGGGTCTCCACATGGCTTATTGAGCTCCATGGCTCTGGTTCCATCAGCTTAGCTCCCATGTGGCTTGTTAACAAGAATGTCTTACCGAGAGAGTATGTATCCTACCTCCAGGGAGGAAGACAGGAGTTTCCAGAGTCCTCAGAAGGCCACGCCCACACCGAGACCTCATTGGCTATACCTGATTGATCCTAGACTCAACCCTTTCCCTTAAGTTGACAGTAGATTATGTAACTGCCACAGTCCTCTTAGGTCCTTCAAGAAATTCTATCAAGACTACTCCTTTGGAATGCCAGTAAACAGTTGCCATAACTGACCTCTCTGCCTTAAATTTCCCTGACCTTCTTGAAATTGTTTGATCCATCTAAAAACAGTTTGGGCATCTCAAGAAACTTCATTCCTGTAAGCTTCAAGGATTTTTTAAGATGTTCACTTAAATTTTGTTAAAAATCTGACATTAGACCTGACTTCAAAATCATGTGTTTGTTTTTTCATGGCACAAAAAGTGTCCTTTATTTTGAAGACATCCTTCTGAGACTAAGACAAATGTGTTACTGAAAAAGAAAAGTTGTCTGTCACCCCACTGATCACAAAGACATGTTCAATATTTTTGGTTTAGAACAAGCCTGTACATATATGAACTTGAATCCAAGAAGCAATGCTTTATTATTTACCCTTGTATTTATGGAATGAAACTCTAGAAGACTAAATATTAGAAGTATAATTAGGGCCTTATTTCTTAGAAGATATTCAAGAAACACTGCATATGCAATGTATTCTAAACCCAAACCACACTCACTGCCATCAAATCTATTCCAACTCAAAGCTACTCTAAGGACACAGCAGAACTGCTTTTAGGATTCCCAAATCTATTAATCTTTATGGAAGCAGCCTACCCAATCTTTCCTACATAGAGGGGGGGGGGGTGCCAACTGCCAGCCTTCTGGTTATCAGCTTACCCCTTTAACTAGCTCCTATGAAATATATATTCATGAGAAATTCTTATTTACTTGTTTTAGGAAAAGGTAGAAGCCAGGTGTGAAATTCCTGCCATATATACTGTTAACACACATGTAAATGCCAGTTCCTTAAGAGCTCAGAATCTTCATCATATTGTTTATAATCCAAATAGGAGAATAAAACATAACACATATGAAGATGATACATGATATTTTTTGTGAAATTGATCTTTTTGTTCCCTGTACCTGTCACTCTTCTTAGTCTTACTTATGTTGACATTTTTATAATGAGAATTCATACGTTGGGATATTGATGTTCAAAATGTTAGTCAGTTAGACCAAGACTTACAGAAATGGCAGACAAATTTCTTTTTGAGGTATAAAATTAATACATTATTTTTCTGTCAAATGTTGTGATAGATTACAATTAAAATAAGAACTCTAATTCTGAATTTTGTAGAAGACAGTTGCTCTCAAGATCATTTCATGAAACATTAATAATGCCAGGAAATATGACACATGATTATATTTATATCTGAAGCTAAGGCCCCTAGCACAGTACCTTGCTAAATAAATATTTCAAGAATGAAAAACTTACATGTAGGTTTAGTGGATACAAGCGGTTATTTATACTACTTTATTCCTTTGTATAAAAATGTTTTCCCATATAATTAATTTCTTTATTTTAGTTGATGGCCAAAGAAATAAAGAACTCTGATGTGTCTCCACCTTTGGTAGATGATGAGACAGGTGGTTCCCCATCAAAGCAGCAGACACGATCCATTATTTCTATGACTTCCGCTTTGAAAGAAGTGGGTATGGTAAGTTTTCTGAAAGTCAGAACTCCTCAAAGTTGCTGCTTTATTTAAAGGAAAATATATGCACTGAAATCATACTCATTATTAATGTTTTACTAGTTTTCCTAGGAGAAAATATGACCTTGTCAGAATTTTGTGTATGGGTTATTTTGAATATTAGGGCATTGCTTCTCAGAGTCTCTATATGTAGGATTGCCTCATGGATAAGAACACATTAAAATTACTCTCTCTCACTTTCACTTTAAAAGAATGCAGTGTAAATAGAAATAGAAATAAGTATTCTTATATCCCACCCCTCACATTTAGCAAATGTTCACTTTTTGAAAAAGAATGCCTCTCTGGTACTTAAGTAACTACCTATAGCAATGAAGTCCTAGATATATTTAACTTTATTCAAAATTGTTTGAGAAAACGAATTTTAGAATAAGTACAGTTTAATTACATGGAATTGATTAATTATTTCTTTTACCTTATACTTCTAAATTTTTTTTTTTTTGAGATACTTCTAAATTTTTATCATGCCATATGGGTGTTTAAGCAAAGACATGGAGACAGATAAAACCTTTTTAATTTGGACATGCTTGTCAGGTATCTGTGTAAAGTGTGAAGAATCTGGGGTTAAGAGAAATTAATTCAAAGAATTCAACAGGCAGAAGAGAAACTGAATCATATAACACATTAACCATATTTTCTCCCTTTTACATAGTGCCC